GAAGTCCACAAGTCTTAAAGTGGTTAAGTTTGGAGACCTCTGGCCTAGAGAACGATCAGATAAAAATGGGGGAAGCCCACAACTGAAAAAGGGGCAGAGAAAGAAACTTGAACAGAAACCCAATCAAGCAGTGAAAAAAGACAGCTGGGGATTTGTAATTTCATGCTTGCTCAAGATTCTGTTAATGTAGCTATGCAATTAAGTAGAATTAGTTCATCCTTGGTTTCCTGGACTGGTTTATTTGGGAGGCTGAAAGAATGCAGACAGCTCTTCACTCACCCTGCGGAAGGACACAACGTAAAAAGTATCCTCTCGGCGGTCAATGGCATCCATGAAGTCATGCTCTGTATGATCGGGATGATGATACACCTGCAACTGTCTCAGAGAATCCCTAAGAGGAGAGGAAAAAAACAAGACACAAAGCATTTCTTTCCCTATCCTGACACAAAGCACGTAGGGTACCACATTGGAGCCTGAAATGGAGATGGAGAGAGAAAAAAGGGGGCTCAGTGATACATAGCTTAGAAAAGAGAGCAACAATTATTGTAGAAGATGATCAGGCTAAGGCGGAGGGAGGGGTCAAACACGTCATCAGTCTCGAGTCCCTTTACGCCCACAAGAGATCTAAATCCACCCCACTTGAATTCCATTGACTCTTTTCTCTACCACTAATTTGCTTTGACCGTTAGTAGTTCAGGTTCTTGTAGAGAGCTTAACCTTGTAATAAACCTATATATTTCTTTGAATTGCAGGCAGGAATCCTGATTTTCTGCACTTGACAACTATTTGTCTCTTCCATGTTTCTATTTGCCATAAAGAAGAGGAGCTATTCTCCAAAGCATCTGAGGGCAGGAAAAGAAGCAATGGGTGGAAACTAATCAAGGAGAGAAGCAACCTAGGACTAAGGAGAAATTTCCCGACAATGAGAACAATTAATCAGTGGAACAATTTACCTCAAGTTGTGTGTGCTCCAACACTGGAAGTTTTTAAGAAGAGATTGGACAATCATTTCTCTAGGGTTTCCTGCCTGTGCAGGGGGTTGGACTAAAAGTCATCCAAGGTCCCTTCCAACTCTATTTCATACTGGCAGCTGTCTCAAGAAAGGTTCAGGAGGCCAACTAAGCGGGAACGATAATTATGCCCTCCTTGAAATAACTGGAAAAAAAGAGATAGGATCTCCCACACTACGGATCACTGCAATAATTTTCTCTGCTACACATCCGAGTGGAACGAGCAACTTGGATACTACTGTAAGGAATCTTACCGCTTTCAACATAAAACAAGAGGGAAAACCCACAAGTGGTCAGCAAAGAGTAGAAGAAACTACAATCTTCCCTTTGGGATGAAAACTCTAGGCAAAATCCTCAGAGAGAAGGCAAGAGAATTTGCCACAAGAGCAACTTACCCCTCGGGGTATTTGGGGGGACTGGCTGGAACATAGTGGGAAGGGCTCGGAGACTTCTTTTGTGGCTTCTCCTGAAATCCCAAAGACATGGTTTGTAGATAAGGATGGGAGAGATGCCTAGGACAGGCACCAGGATGTCTTAAATTTTAATTACCCCTCTTTTTTTTTTCTTATTCACAAGCTACCGGATACTCCTTGCTCAGCTTTTGGGAGTCCTTCTCAGTGCCCATTTTCCTTCCCCTCAAGACGTTGTCCTGTCCCACCTGGTTGCTCTGAGCTGCTTTGTGAGTTTGTAAAGGTTTCCGCCGGTTGATCTGGTGTCGTCGGACCCAGCCGCTGAGCTCATCTGCCAACCTGGAGGTGGGAGAGGAAGCGATGGAGGATTATCTTATCGACCTGCAAGCCTCTAAACCAGTGTTCCTCAACATGTGAAATTCTGGGAGTTGAAGTCCGCCCGTCTGAAGTTGCCAAGATTGAGAATCACTGCTCGAAACTAACAGCTGAGGAGTATCCACGACTTCTTCCGCAGGACCTACCGGAGCGATTCAGTGCGGTTGAATTGGCGGCAATCTGAAGCGAGGAACAGCTCGTCCAGGTCCCTCAACATGAGGTCCTTCATGTCTGAGAAGGGAGTTGACAAGTTCCTGAACATGGGAAAAGGAGAAAATTAGAGGTCGTCCACAACTTGTGGGGAGGGTTGAAGGATGTGTGTTTGTGTTTATTTTCATGGTTATGATGTGCACTGAAGATGGGGCTTGATTTCGTTGTACGAGGTGCAGTGACAATAAACTAAACTAAACTAAACTTACAAACAGTTCATTTAGTGACCATTCAAAGCAGTGGTGGGATTCAATTTTTTTTTTACTACTGGTTCTGTGTGCGTGGCCAGGTGGTCATGTGACTGAGTGGGCCTGGCTATGTGGTGCTTTTTTCCCACCCTTTCTCAGCACCCCTCCCCCACACCCTGTTTTTGGCCTACTGGGCCTCAGGGAAGCCTCCTGGGCGCTGAAAAAAGAAACATTTTGAAGCCTTCCGAGGAAAGTACAACAGTGAGGGGGGGGATCAGCTGTGCTGCACGATTTAGATTAGCTAGGAAGCAAGGAATCCAATGATTTCCTGCTTTCTAGCTAATCTAAATCATGCAGCACAGCTGATCGTCGCCCAGCTGATCATCGGACATTTGTTTTTACTACTGGTTCAGCCAAATGGTTGTATTTTTTTTTACTACCGATTCGCCTGAACTGGGCCGAACCGGTAGAATACCACCACTGGTTCAACGTTACAATGGCACTGAAAAAAGTGACTTATGAACATTTGTCACAGTTGCAACCTTTGCAGCATCCCCAAGATCACGGGGTCCAAATTCAGATGCTTGGCAACTGGCTCATGCTTATGACCACAGCTATGTCCCAAGGTCACATGACCCCCTTTTGCGACCTTTTGACAAGCAAATGGGGAAGCCCAACTCAGTTAACACCCGGGTTTCTAACGTATCACCTGCAGTTAACAACTGTGGCAAGAAAGGTCATAAAACGGGGCAAAACACGCTTTAACAAATGTCTCACTAAACAACAAAAAATTTGGGGCTCCGTTGTGGTCGTAAGTCGAGGGCTACCTGTATGGTCAAAATTCTCAGCCATTGAACAGGCAACGCTGGGCAGAAAGAAACCCACAGCCCTCAGTTGCAAACAAGAACCACTTGCTGCAAAGTGTTTCTCAACAGGTGTGGACTTCAACTCCTAGAATTCCCTAGCCAGACATGCTGGTTCATGACCGCATCAGTATCACAATACGCAAGCTGCCCTTGGAGCATTTAGTCCTACAAGTAAGTCATCGTTTAAAATATATATATATATAAAGACAACTGCACTCCTGTCAGCCCTTCAAGGCAGTCCAGACAAGAAGCACCAACCATGAGTATTAACACTATTTCGAGTGTAAGGGTACAAGAGCAGAATCTTGCAGAACTGAAAGCGCCTTTTCCCTCCCTTATTTTAACTTTCCTCAAAACGGGAGAGGGTCACTTCTGATGCTTTCTGCATCTTCCACTTTCCTTCCCACATAAAAATAAAGGTTTCCCCTGTCCAGTTGTCTCTGACTCAAGGGGTTTTGCTCATCTCAGTTGCTTAGCAAAGCGAGTCACAGCATTATCGGCAGACACTTCCATGGTCTATTTATACTGTACTGTACTATACTATACTATTACTACACTACACTACAAAATACACTATACTATACATTATACTATACTATTACTATGCTATACTATTACTATACTACCGTGTTTCTCATATAATAAGGCCAGGTCTTATTTTTTTTTGAGCCCCCAAAAAATGGCTAGGCCGTCTTTTCGGGGGTGACTTAATTCCACCCCCCTTGCATCTTCGGGCGGGCGGGTGGCGACAGCTTGGATGTTGACCTCGGCGTTGGTGGGGCACTTTGTATCGGGGTCAACGCAGGCAGCACCATATCCGGGTATGCAACAAAAGTACTTCCTAACGGCAAGGCCCCCCCACCATTCCCCCCCATTTCGCATGTTTTAATATAGGCCTTGATTTGGGCGGAGGGGCTTAATTTCATTTCATGCCTATAAAACATGCTGGGACTTCCTATTGGGGGAGGCCGTATTGTTGGAGAAACAGGGTATATACTATACTATACTATACTATTACTATACTATTACTATACTATTACTATACTGTACTGTACTATACTATACTATGCACTGGGGCGGACAGAATGCTGTTACCTTCCCACCAAGTGATACCTATTTATCTACTCGCATTTGCAGGTATTCAATCTGCTAGGTGGGCAAGAGCTGGGAGCTGGGGCAAGTTAACAGCTGAGCCACTGCATCCCTTTCCTTCCCACATATCATTACAATTACGATGTCTTTCATCTGGTTGAGCAGGAAGATACTGCAGCTTTAAAAAAGAAAACCAAAAAAACCAGGATCATTCCAGCATCAATGGCACTCTAAATCAATGTTTCTCAACCTCAGCAACTTTGAGATGGGTAGACTTCAGCTCCCATAATTCTTTAAAGTTGCTGAAGTTCAGAAACAATGTAGGGAAATTGCGGCCAGCTGTTTCTCTTGGCACATTATTTCACCTCACACTTTCTGCATCCAAATTACCTGAATTGGGCCTTGCCTGGCCTTGCCAGGGTCTCCTCTTGCTGTTCCTCCTGCTCCTCTTCTGGCATTTCAAGAGCTTCTTGTGTAATGCTTAGAAGATGCCTCTGGCCTGGGCCAGACTCCGGTTCCTGCTTGGGCTGAGACACATTGGCAACTTTGCGCTCAGTGATGCTGGAGAGATTTTAAAACATGGAATCAGGTCTCAGCCTCTCAGATATTTCATACAGAATTATTCCTGGCCTACATAGTCTAGTGAACTGCCTCCAAACTACCATCCTTTTGTAAAAATCAAGCGCAAAAATGGGCTGGAGTAGTTATTGGATCACTCCAATTCTTCCTGAATCTGTGGGGACAAGATCATGTGAAGAAGACACAAGTTTGTCCAGTATTCTCGTAACTATCAAGAAAGAGGTAGCATAGCAGAAAAAACAGGGTCTATGGGTTGCAGCAGGGATGTGCAAGGATACAGAGGACCAAGCAAACTCTCATAAAGCCACAAATAAAAGTGAGAAAAATGTGTATCAGGCTGAGCTTTTGGGGACCAGAGTCCATTTGCCAGAACATAAAGTGAGCAGGGGGAAGAAGCCAGAGAGGGACAATGAATTATTAACATAGCTGAGGTATATTTTTTTTTAAAAAATACAGACTTTAAATCTATAGCAGTGCTTTTCAATCCTGGGCAACTTTTTATACGGGTAGATGTCAACTCCCAGAATTATTCCCTAGCGAAGCATGCAGACTCGGAAATTCTGGGAGCTGAAGTCTGCACATCTTAGTTACCAAGTTTGAAACACCCTGGGTTTACAGACTCCAAAGACATGGAACAGCACTTCAACACAGGATTCTCTAATGTGAGAAAAAATATTTTTAAAAATAAAAAAATTAAGCAGCTTTTAATTTAGAAAATTAATGAAAACTAAAAAGCTTAAAAAATCAGGCAGCAATATACTGTAGGCTGTTGGAGATGACTTCAACATAAATGTAACATAACATAACATAACATAACATAACCACAGACTTCAATGGATAATTAGAACTGTAGAAAAAACAATTGTTATCAATCTGCCTTCCATTGAGGACCAGTATACTGCACAAGTCAAAAAGAGGAATGTGAAATATCTACAAACCCCTCACATCCTGGACATAAATTGTTTCAACTTCTACCCTCAAAATAATGTTATAGAGCATTGCACATCAGAACAACTAGGCACAAGGACAGTTTTTCGGGCATTGTCATCACTCTGCTAAACAACTAATTCCCACAACACTGTCAAAGTATTTACTAAGACTGTATTACTATTCTTCTTCTCATCCTTCCTACAACCTATCTCCTTTTCTATTTGTGACTATAACCTTGTTGCTTGTATCTGTATGATTTATATTGTTTTAGTTTCCTAATATGATTTATGTTGATTGCTTATTTAGTATGCTATGACTATCACTAAGTGTTGTATCTTATGATGCATGATGAATGTATTCATGATTATGATCATGATTTATCACTTATATCTTTTATGTACACTGAGAGACAAATTCCTTGTGTGTCCAATCACACTTGACCAATAAAGATATGAATGGAATTGGAATTGGAATTCTATTCTATTAAATTCCATTCAGCAGGGAGTGTTAATACGTTATCAGTTTAGAGTCCTAAGGTTCTCACAAGAAACCAAAGTCCAGCTCTCATGAATTCCATTGGCGCTTTTGCTAGCACCAATTTAGCTTGACCATTAGTAGATCAGATTCTTGCATATAGGTAACATGATATAAACTGAATTCTATTCCTATTCCTGGTTTCTTGTGCCTGACATGAATCTGGTCTACTAATAGTCAAGCTGAATTGGCGCTTAGATAAGGGTCAATGGAATTCATAGGGGGCTGGACTTAGGTCTCTTTGGGGAATCTTAGGACTCTAAACTTTAACCCCACCCTCATGTGTACTTGCTCATCTCCTATATAGTCTCCTATATAGCTCCATAGAAGTGAGTTCAACAGACAGGCAATATTCTTCTCAGAAGGTTTACATGAAAAGAAATCCTTTGGAGCCATTTTATTGAACAAATAGTGACATGTCTGAGGGACCATTGTCTATGCTTACCTACAGCAGATGAAGCTGAACTGTCCCTGCAGTTCAACAACTTCAAAGAGCTTCCAGACAGAGAATGATCAGCAACACAACCTCACAACCTAAGCTGAGAAAGGAACCCCGCAAAGCGCCAGGAAGTCTCACCTGACAGGCCCAAAATTGAAGGCTATGAAGAGCAGCACAACCATGACGCAGATCACTTTTCGGTTCCCGGAGCCAAACTTCAGGTCGCTGTTCTATATGGGAAGACAGGCGAATCATCAGGCATCACAACACATCGCATTCAAAATTTACAGCTCCTTCTAATGGAATGGCCTGATTGAATGTTTTGGCTTCTCCCAACTCCTGGCTGAAATGCTGAACCAGAGCAACTAATTGCTAAGTTATCCTGAGTGATATTGTACCATCGAGTTGATATTGACTCTTAGTGACCACATGGATAGATTTTCTCCAGGACAATCTGCCCCCAACCTAGTTTTTCAAGTCTTACAATAGTGCACCTAAATTATCCTGCTAACGGCCATCAGAATTGGAGAAATGAAACCTGCCAGAACAAAAGGGTCATATCAGCATTCTCAACAGGACCCTAAGGTCTCCAAATATATGGGATATGTTTCAAAACATGAAGGCACAAGCACCTAGGAACTGGCCAGCTCAATAGTAAAAGAATAATACTCTCTATATATCCTATCAGTAAAAGAAAAAATGAGGAATTAGGTGACTGCACTCATATATAATATTAAAGTGATTTGTTTGGTTTGTGGGTTAATGTACCGTATTAATTTTGTAAATGGTATTATTTTCAAGACATCAAAAATACCAGTAATCCTCATTTTTTGGCCAGTTGCTTAGGGACTGGTTGAAGTTTACAATGGAGAAAAAAATACTTATGAAATGCTTATGAAAAGAATACTTCAAAAATACTTATGAAGTTCTGACAGCCAAGCGCCCCCCCCCCCCGGTCACCTGATCACATATTGGACACTCAGCAATCAACCTACATTACGGCCATTTGCAGCTTCCCATGGTCACGTTACCACAATTTACCTCATAAACAATTTCCAGCCAAAAATGTCCATTGCGGACAATAGGTTCACTTAACGAGGCTGTGGTAAATGGCTGCAGATTCGCTTAATGATCAGAACAAAAAATGTTACAAAATTGAGTCAGTCCTATGCTGACCTGGTTAATGACCAGCATGAGCTACAACTGTAATTCTGCGCTCACTTAGGACACAGAGGTCCCCAACCCCCAGGCTACAGTTCTGAACCGGGCTGCAAAAGTGGTGAGTGTGTATGTGCACACGCAGTTCCATTGACGCGAATTGCAGGCCCTCTTGCTTGCATGCAAAGCTCAATTTGTGTGAGCTTGCGCAAATGGAACTGTGCACATTCACGCATGCACCTGCCGCTCGCACCGCTCGCACAATCATTCCTTCGTATACACACACACACACATCAGGCAGCCTAGCTGGAAAGGATGGGGACCACTGACTTACCGTTATAACTCGAGATCTGTCTGTAAGGAAATCTCCCTAGCTCAGTGAAAAAGAAAGGTGGAGAATGAACCAAAATAGATTTTTCCAGAGATATATGGCTAGCTTGCTAATATTCTGAACCACAGCGTTTCAGCTGTGAGGTAGATGTAAGCAAACAGCAATCTTCTGTTGCATACCCCATTTGAAAATCTAAAAGTTCTCAGCTAGCATCCCCACGACATGGAAGCTAATCATGACAATGTGCTTTTTATAAGAAAGCCACAAGTCTCCTTCCTAGTTGGAAGGGCTCACCTCGTCCAGGACACCATCTAGCCGGCGCCGAAGGAGAGCATTCTCACGCCGTAGCCTCTCATTCTCTGCAAGGGCCTCTCGCAGCCGGGATTCCAATCCTTGGAGGTATTCCTTCTTTTTTCGGCGGGACTGACAAGCTGATTCACGATTTTTTATCATCCGCTGCTGCCTTTTCAAGACCTTGATCTTTAACAAATCAGTAGGGAAAATAATATATTCATGTCCATAGTGTAAAAGAAAAAAGGACACATTTTCTTTTCTGTGCTTGTTTTCTGAAATTCAGTTCTACGTTTTGCATCAAATGTAGGTCACATAGAGCTCTTTGCATCCTCCAGAATCTCTGCTGAACTTTAGTTCAATATTCTCATTTGTTCACTAAGTAAAACTTATCCTGTTTATCTTGTTTCCTTTCCTGCAACAACAATTAGCAACATGTACTGTAAATTTCCAAACTGTTGCTACTGTACTTATTGTTATGGAGATCATTAAAATGTAGGAGATTAACAGAATCCCATGGCTATTCCTAATATGACCTGCCTGTAAAACTGCCCATGTGGAGTCCTTGATGATCAGTGAGCTTGGTTATTTGCAGACATTTCAATACCTGACTAGGTACCATCATCAGCATCAGTGAGTGTAGGGTTTGCTTTCCTGATTTCTGTTTCAAGCAGAAAACAATATTCTAATCCAGGAACTGCCAAGGCGGGAAAAAACACATCTCCACCAACATTGGTAGGGCATGATAATGTTTATAAACAAACAACAAACTTCACTACAACACTGATGATGTTACCAAACATCTGGAGGCAAATAAACCAAGTTCATAAAGCTCCAAGGACCTCACATTTCATTGCCGAGCTACAGAGATTCTCTTTTATTGGAATCTGTCCAGGATTTGATGTCGCTGGAAGAGAAAACGCTCTGGAACTAAGGATTTCAAACTTACATCAATCTCTTGGTTGCAGGGTCCTATCTGTGCTGGTGCAGGGATGATAGTTTTAGCTTCTGGCTTGGGGATTGAGGGGGCTGGTTTAGGTGAGAGAACCTCCTTCACTGGAGACTGAACCTTGATCAAACCAGACACTGGGAGATGCAGCAGCTCAGATTGGGAAATCACAACACTCTGTGCTGGAACTAAGGCAAAAAAAAAAAAAAAAGCCACAATCCTGCTTCACATACACCGTAATCTTCAGATAAGAAAACAAAAGTTATTTCCTCAGAATGTCCTACACCCATCCAAAGCAAAGAAACCCATGCACCATCCCATATGACGTTTCCAGTCTGTACACATTCAGCTACTGGAAACTGCTCCATTAATGTCCAAAAATAAAGTCCTCCTGGTCAGCTTACCTGAGATTCCAGGGTTGACACTCTGCGATTGGGTTACAGGTACTGACTGCAACAAGATGGTCTTACTGGAAGAGGTGGCTGGCTGTCCTGGGACAGTGGTCACCACGACTGGCTTTGGTTGAATGGGGGGTTTCCGACTAAGGATGCTCTCTGTTTTATTGGGAGCTGCTGGTTTCCCTAAAAGAGAATTGAGCACTCAAAACAACCTGTAAGAATCTATTAAACTCTTACTCAATTAATTGTATTGATGAAGCCACTTTGACTTGGGAAAGACTCAGCTATTATTACCCTGAAGGAGGAAAAAAACAGAACAGGAAATAAATGAGAGATCATATATTTATTGCTCCTTTTTTTTCAATGACTTCAGTTCTGACACTAATTATGCCCGTATTATTTATCTACTTCAAATGAGGCCATTTGATAGCTTTCCTTTTAACGAAAAAAAAAAATGAAAGAAAGGAATGCACAAACTTATAAAAGAAACATTAAAAGGGAAACAAAACATATAAAATATATATGTATGGAGATATATAACATTTATGCAATCTGTTATCAGAAGTACTTAACACGGTAACTAAAAAAAGTCTTAATTGAAAATTAGATTTTTGCTAACAAATCATGAACATTCACTAACATTCCAACTAGTGTGGGTGAGGGGCTAAC